TGCTTGTAATTTTCCCAAGCGGGTTTATCTCAAACCTCTTAAGAGGCTGACAATATTTAATGATAAAGCCTCAAACTCTAAATTATTAAAGTGTTGCTGTAATTGGATTCATGCCTAATGAATATGATAAATATTTCTAGTGAAGACATATTTTTCTTAATCTCGCCGTAAGCAAATGTCTTTATTATGAACAAGTAGTGAGAAATAATTAAATTGAAATTCTTAGAATTAACGTTTAAGCGCTTCTCCTTTCTGGTTTCAATATCAGTACTCAACACATATAAATGTAATTTATTAAACATATATATATATATATACTAAATGATTCTTCCTTTTCACCCTGTTCATCTATTTAAATAGGGAAATATGTTTCATTTTGCATGTTTTTAAATACACTGAAGTGTCAAAAGCCACGTGGTAAGTATTCAGATGTGATTTTAGTTTAGTAACATCTCGATTAGTTTTTCAAATTGAATATTGTTTACATGTTTATTCAGGAAAACTTACATATCGTGTAAAAATAATTAGATATACATATGCCATGAAAACATTCATATTGCAACTACAGTCTATCTACAAACATTAATTGTCATTTGCGTCAATTTTTTAAACTTTTTATAGATAATTTTCAATTTTATTTTAAATTTCTATGTAATAATTGGATTTTAGCTGGTTGAAACGTTGCAAGCTGCCACAGCCACTGGCCTTTTGCACTCTTTTGGCAGACAAAGGGCGAGTAATAAGTCTGGGAGGTGTCACCCGAGCTCAAGTCGGCGAGGATTATTCCTTGGAAAGTGTAAATAAAGTTTATGTCATGGGGGATTCTAAAGATGACAGTTGGACTGAAGATGTTCCGATGCCTTTGGGGTGTCACAATGTTGTAGCGAGCAACATAGGTAAGCAATATTTTTTTACAAGTATTATATTCACCAAAAGTCTGCATACAGGCGATCTTCTAATAAACAATCACTAAATAAATTGAGTCTTTCTTAATACAATTTTTGATTACTCCTCTAACTTCGTAAATTCCTTTAGTAGTACAAACAACAATGACTTAATCGTTCCACAAAATAATACAAGTATTCCAAGCTTCAGACATAAATCGCGTGCTTCAAAAATCAGCACTTACAGGGAAAACTTTTAAAATAAAATGGATTGTAACTATATATAATAGATACCTCGCAAGATTTTCTCTTTTTTTTTATAGATCTTCTCTCTCAACTTTTTTAGCTTAGATTCAAATAGATTAGATTTTTCTCCTGTGGTTATTTTGTTCCAGTCTTTTACCATGATAAATTTTAGCTTTTCTTTGGATATTATGTACTACTGATTCTATGTTCAAGTAAATCCAACACATGTTCTATTGAGCTTATGCCAAGGGACTGCGATATTATACGGCAAGGATGTCCAACTCAAAGGCTTACTTGGTCCAAACAAATAAGGTCTAACTTTTGGTGGACCGCATAAAATAATAATTCATAGAGGCATTAAATAATGTATAAAGAAAATGGAACGAGAAACATTTTAATGTTAAAGTTTAATGTTTACAACCTGTGATACTAGGTATTTCTTCTATTCTATCTTTCCTATTTCGGGAGAATTATTTAAAAAATTTTATGATATATTTTTGTGTACCGATATCTTGGTTGAACCTCAAAAATGTTCGTTGCGAGACGCATGAGGCTTGCAGGCCTCGAGTATGAAACTCGTGGCGTACAGAGTTGGTTGCTATTTAATAGAACATTCCTGAACTCATAATATATGCCTTGGACTTTGGGCTGCTGCTCTTCTGAACGTAAAAATCATCACTCACGCAAAGGGTTTCGGAACTTACCATGAAAGTTCTCTTCGGTATGTTCAAATTATTAATTTTGTTCACTGTTGATTCAATAAACTATAGATTACCAACCGCATTGCTTCTCATGCACCACCAAACGATGACGCTCTTTCCTCTTTGCTTGACATGAGAGCGTGAATCTTGTTCCCCGTACCAAAAACTCGTGCGTTGCCGAAATATCAACTTATACTCTATTCCTAAGCGGATAAACATCAATTTTACAATTCCTACTCTTCCTTCACACTCTCTTTATATATATATATATATATATAATATGGTAATATGGTTCAAATTTTCAATCGTTTGTAAAATACATTTTATTTATCTACTCAAGTTGAAATACATGTTTTTAAACTTATAGTGAATGACACTTGATGTTAATTCATTGATGATAATATTAATTCATTACTTAAACTTAATTATTGTGTAAATAGTAACAAGCAAACTTATTAGTCTGTCACCATTTGTAAAAAAAGGGAAACCACTCGCTGTGTCTCTGTAGCGTAATGAATAGCGCGTAGGATTTATAATCCGAAGGTCATGGGTTCGAATCCTAAATGGGAGGTCTAATTGCTGAGAATGTGATTAATAGAATGAATGAATAAATAGTAGCAAAATAATAGTCCAACACCATATATAGAAAGAAAAATCGCTTTCTATTTTGCCACTTAATATTATGATTATGTCATATGTATATGCGTATTTAAATTAATTGTAACTAAAGTAAAGTTTTTCGTTGTTGATCTAAGTAGCAATTGACTTTTTTATATTACTTGTTCTCTTTCAGTAACTCTCTATTAGCTTTAAAATAGTTAATTATTTATTCAAATAAATGAAATATTTTGAAAAGATAAAAGCAGTATAATCTCTGCGTGTGTGTGTGTGTTCTGTTGAAGTGATGTCACACTCAAGCTGCAGAGTAAACTATTGGAAAGCAGATTTCGTATTTATGATTTTCTTTTAAATAGTTAGAGGAATATTTGAATACATGTGTGTAATTCGCTTTCTAAACCAAAGCCATTTGAATGTGTTTGGGGGGAAAAAAACTAAATTTAATTTTCCCTATAGAATTTTCGTACCATATGCTTTTAAGCAGATTTCAATTAAGAAAATATTTAGCTCTGAGCACGAAGGATACAAAAATATTAAACGAAATAAATGGTTTTTCAATTACTACTATTAGCTCACTCTCTCCCTATATATATATATATATATATATATATATATATATACCAAAGACTCTTTTAGTTTCTTCCATTTTAAAGTTCTAACTCTTTTTCCTGTTTTTTTTTGTACATAGTTTATTTAAATCTAGTACAATATATATTTCTATCATTTATTTTATAGTTATGTTTCTTAGAATCTGGTTTCTATCTTTTAGCTTTGTTGGTTGTACAACTTGGTCTTGTTATTTTTCTATACATATATTTTTCAAAATTCCAATCGTTAATTAAATATTTTTAATTCATTCAATCAAGTTCAAACAATTTTTTAACTTGTAGCGGATGACACTAATGTTAATACAGTTTTTTCAAATACTAATTCATTAATTTAAAACACTGTTACTTAACGGGTTTCGACGCCACAACTTAGATTCGTCTCCATTCCTGTAACTATATAACTGATAAAACAAAGACAAAAGTTGGCATCGAAAACCGGTTTTTCAGCCAAACTAGTTAAACCGCGTGTGCATTCTTACAACAATGTAGACACATCATTCTCTCTCTCTCAATTCCTACTATTAATTATATGTAAATTACAAAAATATACAAAAAACAGTTATAAACCTAAGATAACTATAGTCATGATAGAATAGTCTTAGCCACAGTAGTACTAGAGTAAACTCCTGGCCTTAGGAACCAGGATTGCAGGTTTAAACAAAGTTTTACGGCCAGCCAACCTTCACCTGAATTTGCCAATACTCTAGGCCATAGGGAAAGCAAGAAATTTCTACACAAGTTTAGCTATTATTACAAATAAAACCATAATCTATTAATGTATAACGATAGTATTATAGCTATAATAATTACTAAAATATTTAAAATCAGAGTTAAAACTATTAGATAAATACTTACCACGTGAGTACAGCAAAAAAAAAAACATTTTCCCGGCCAAAGGACATCTCAATAACAGTAACGCATAAACTTATTAAGTTTTATTAAAATAACATTAATACTATATATATACACATTTAAAAACTCTAAATTTTGTTTAAAAATTAGAGAAAATAAAAGTACCACCCATACATATACAATTAATTTTAAATAAAATATAATATTTTTAATTTACTTAGCTTGGATCGATTAACTGTACATCTATCTATTAACTGTACAACTAATAACATATTTTAAAGTAAGTAAAATAACATGTGTATTAACTAATAACATTTTATAAAGTTAAGAGGGTATCCATGTTACACATACAATGTTTAATGAAGTTATTAAAATTTAAATATATATTAAATGTATCACTAACTCATACGTTATTACGATAAATATAATTGAAAATAATATTTCTATATATAGATATAGAAAAATTGGAATTCCAGTAAGCTTTATTACATTGCTTATTGATGAAGTATATACTATATATATATATATATAAATTGTTCAAATTTTCAATCGTTAATAAAATACTTTCTATTAATCTTTTAAAATTAGGAATTGACTTTATATTTTTATATAATACTTGTTTTTTGTTTATATTGGCATTTCTCATTTTAATGGTAGTAGCCATAATGTTTTGTCTTAAAATTTATCTCCCGTATTATTGAAAGAATTCTTATCTATAAGCAAGTTTGAATATTTCAGTCCAATTATATTTAAGATAAATGAAAGTTTATTACATTGTATTCTCATTCTATTTTATTAAACTCCCGCTATTAGTTCGCAAATCTACCTATTAATATATCTTGTTGAAATTTTCAATCTTTAATAAAATTAATCCATTTATATATATATATATATATATATATATATATTTATTTATATATATATATATAATTTCAAATACAATTTTTTTAAACTTGCAGTGAATGACACTTGGTGTTAATGCAGTTTTTTTTCCAAAGAATTATTCATTAATTAAATTAAAAAATGAATAAAGAGTAACAAACAAAAAGAATAATTCAACACAATTTGTTTTAAGGAAAACCGCTCGTTGTGTCCACTGTAGCGCAATGAATAGCGTCTTAGACTTCTAATCTAAAGTTCGTGCGTTTCGAATCTCGCCAGTGATGGCCTAATTTCTGAGAATGAGATTTGTTTTTACTATACTTTTTTTATAGAAATAATTAAATTTAATTAATGGATTCTTAGTAACAAACAAATTAATAGTCCAACAGAATATATAGAAAGGAAAGTAGAAAATTGCAAAGAAAATCGCTTTCTATTCTGCCACTTAGTATTGGGATTCTGACATATGTATATATACACATTTATATTAATTGTAACTAATTGAAAGTAACTAAAATGAAATATTTCTTTGTTGACCACAGTAGGAATTGACTTTAATTTCTTTTTTTTATATATTTCTTGTTTTAATTCTGTTCATTATAGAAATGCACTGAAGAAGCCGTTAAACTTAACAATGATGGCCATGCATTTGAGCTTCCTTCAAATTGAATGATCTTGTAGCAATACTTTTAGCTATTTGATGATGATAATAGTCCTGAATTTATTTTTACGGAGCATATTACTAAGTGGGATTCTCAAGCCGGCAGCGCATACGGGTGACCAGATCTTTGTTTGGACATTACAAATCCAGTTGATTTGTTGTTCATGATCATTTTTTTAATCAATAAACAACTCCCATCAACAATTTCACCAATTGTCCTTATAAAGATTCCTCTTTTCAAAAGGTCTGGATCTTTCTGTATGTACACTGCTGGCCACCGTAAATGCAACACTCTGAAGGAAGCACGCAAATTACATGAAATTTACATGCATTAGCTGAGGTAAGATATGCAAATGATTAGAATTTCAGGGAAGACACACACCACGCATGCCTGTGGCGCTACCTCAAAGCGCTGTTTAAAGCTTGGAGATTTTGACGATTTCAAGTTCGGCAATTGTGTTTTTCTTGTGGTTTTTTCAATAAACGATCAGTTATGTCTCGTAGAAAACAGCGATCAGCTTTTGATCAAGTATCCAATTTCGACACAGAAAGGATAATGGCCTACCAAGATTGTGGATTATCTTTCAGGGATATCGGTGGTCTTGTTGGACGAAACCAAACAATTGTAATGCGGATATGTGATCGTTGGGTGCAGGAGGGTACGACGGACGGACGTGGTTGATCACATCCACCTCAGTGCACCACTTCACGTGAGGGCAGGCAAATTGTGCGCATGACAGTGACTGATCTCTCAGTCACATTACGAACCATATCACAGCACATTGAATCTGTAACGCATCATTCAGTGTCTGCGCGTACATTCGACGCCGTTTATAGCAGAGTGGTCTATCCATAAGACGTCCATTGCTTGGTCTACGCTTGACGCAGAACCACAGACGTCTCCGCCGCCAAAGGTGCGATGAAAGAAGGATGTGGGCGGCAGAATGGAATGAAGTTTTCTTTACTGAAGAGTCACGCATCTGTCTGCAACACCACGATGGTTGGATACGAGTCTGGATACACCGTGGAGAGAGGAGTCTGAACAGCTGCGTTATGCATCGACACACAGGTCCTGCACCGGGTATTATGGTATGGGGTGGTATTGTATATCACTCTCGCACTCCTCTAGTACGCCTTTCCGGTACTTAAAACAGCCAGCGCTACATCTCCGAGGTGTTGGAGCCAGTTGTCCTTCCTTACCTTCAAGGCTTGGCCACAGCCATATTTCAACAGGATAATGCGCGACCACACGTGGCACGCATTGTCCAAAGGTTCTTCGTCAATCACCATATTGAATTGCTTCCCTGGCCGGCTCACTCTCCGGATCTTTAGCCGATAGAAAACATGTGGTCCATGGTTGCTCAACGATTGACCCAGATTACAACCCCAGCTGCCACACCAGATTGACTTTGGTAACATGTGGAAGCTGCTTAGTCTGCTGTACCCTAAGAACAAATCCAAAGTCTTGTTGAATCAATGTCGAGGTTTGTGGCAGAGGTGATCTCCAACAATGGCAGATACTCTGGCTACTGACTTTGTCAGGAACCACACTTCACAGAAGTCTATAAATTTAATCATTTGATACTTGGTCAACATGTTATCTACAAAATCAATTTTGTTGTGCTATCTCTTGTCTTTCTTGGTGTTGCATTTACGGTGGCCAGCAGTGTAATATCAATCTCTTTTCCTTTACTTGACATGGAATTCCAAGCTTTCAAAATCACAAATTCTAAATTAGTCGTAGTAGAAGCTTAGAACTTAGAACGAATTGATGCAAATATCTCAATAAAACGTTTTTAAAATATCTATTTTATAAGGGTTTTCACCGACTTTTGGGACGAGTGAATCGCGATTGTTTGGTGGTCGAATTTGTATTTCATATTAATGGAATTCCTTTTGTTCAGTTTCAACGAATTAAGCAGTAACAATCACTGTGAAATATGTTGCATTTCCCAAGCTATGTAGCAATAGTAATTTTAATTATGAAAATGTAAGATGACTATCTGTACGCAGATTTTCGGTGGTAAGCTTATTTAAATTGCACTTCAATAGATGATGTAGAGGATACTCCTTTTTGAAAACTTTCTGTGAATTTGAACTATACTCAATGATATGAAATTTACGGCATTAATTAGGATTCACCAGGCAAAATGGCGATATATAACGATTGCCAAATGTTCATTACTGGAAGCAACTGCTATAAGAACTTGTAATTCTTTTTATAATCCTTTTACAAACTTCACTTGTATATAACAGAATCTTTGAACTCAATTTTTACTCACTTTAAAAGGTCAGATAAATTCGAATTTTTACTCACTTTTCCATAACCGATGACGATACAATAATTTCGTAATTTTGTTCCATTGTCTTGATCAGGATTAACGATTTCCCATTTTCAGTTCACATCTCACATCTGACGACTAATTTCAGATCCAATTTCCAGATTTGGCGGTGGCCGCGGTAGCCAAGTGGTCTAGGCATCGGATGGTGGCTAGCGTGTCATGAGTTCGATCCCAGTACCACTGAAGACCCGCCGTGTAGACTAGCAATGCACTTTAAATCTGTTGAGAGCTCAAACGTCCACCCGTTGATGTGGTGTAGTAGTTAGGAGAGGGGGTGCAAGCTCAGATGTCGTCCACGTCACTTGACCATGGTTCAAAATTACGTGGACCGTCCCCAAAAGCCCTCGTGTAGCTGAACAGTGGGACATTAATATTCACTCACTCACTCCAGATTTGGCGACTAAAAGATTAAGTTACAACTTAGTTAGATTAATTATAAAAGAGGGTGGTTTTTAGTTTATTTAAAGTATAATTTATTATATGATCAATCAGCACCCCTTTTAGTTTGTATCCTTTTGTAAATGCATTTCAATCAGTTATATATAATTTATTTGAACCTAATTTTACTGAAACGTTTTGTAAATCCAATTGAAGTGTCAAAAACCTACATTCAACATTAAAAGAGATGTATTTTCACTAAATGATGCATTTTAACCAAAATGGAAAAGCTTTGAGCATTCGTTCATCCATGACGCCATATTAATGGTCTAATAGTAGCTTATGAATTAAAGTCTATTTTCCAGATAAAATATTTTTATTATTTTTATGAGTTGTTCATAATGACGGTTAGTTGGACTAAAACTAATGAATTCATATCGAATATTAACGCAAAAAATAAATGCCTCTTTTGTATTTATAAATATAATTCAATGTATCCCAGAAGACAATAAAAAGTGTCTCGAATAACACAAAAACCACGATAATAAGTAATAAGAAAAGAGAAAAATAAATACAATTGTAATATTTCTTGTAAGACAAATTCAACATACTTACACCATATTTATTCCAATATACGCCTCAAATTTAATGTTACTGAAAATTGAATGAGGCTTGGGATTACAGGCAAGTAAATTCGTAGGATTTGGGGAAATGTAAAACGATACCGATTAAGGCAATACAATACAGATACAGCAATTAAAATAACTAATAATTAAATACATTATAATGAGAATTAATAAGAAGGGGAAAATTAATTTTTAATTTTGTAAATATCTATCAGCGACATAAAAACGTTTTTCACGATTTTGTTCTTTAACACAAAAACGTGATGAGAATATGGGGTGTAGCTTAGAATCGGAGGTGGCTTAGATTCAAGTGCACACGATATTAAAAAAAAAATTTCTATTAGTGTTATATATTATTAAAAAAATGGTTGGAAATTATATATATATTGCTGTAAGTGGAATTGACCTTGAATGTAAATTAGAATCATATGCGATAAGATTTATCATACAGTAAAGCTGATATATGTCAAAAATACTTAAAGACTCAAACTTTTTCTGGCCTCGACAGCCTCGTCGTTATGTTCGCGAACTCATGACAGCAGCTTCGGGGGTGTTCAGCTCCTGCTGCCATGAAAGACCTGCCGTTTATGAAGGGATCACGTTCAGTCAATCGATGTTCATTGACCTTCCTTTGGTTTGGTGTGGCAGTCGGTAGACGGGTGCCTTCCTCGTCCCTTGACCAAGGTTTCAAATTATGAGGTCCCTTGCCAATAGTCTTTGTGTTGTTTTATGGGACACTATTAATATAACGTTTACCATTGGCAAATGGAGAACATCCCCCCCCCCTGCAAAGTCAGATTTTGAGCCCCAATTTGAATTTTACAAAGGGTGTGGTGGCTGGGTACTATTTCGGACCCCGCTCAATCCGGCCGGCGCGTCTCTAAGTGTGGAAGGAAACATATAATCACCAACAAAAGCCATAATAACAATCATGTTTATTCAGGACTGACAAACACTTAAACAATCAGAAGTTTAATTATAAGAAGAACCTAGGAATGATTCCCTAAAACATCGATTAATCCTAACACTCAATTCTAATACTCAATTCTAAGTAATCTCGGTTACCAGAAATAGACAAGGAGACGAACACTAACTGACCTCAGGTCGGTACTGAATCTATTATCTTCGATTGTCAATCTAACCATTGACTCTTATAATTTATATCTATCAAACGCGCGCTAAGTTCGGGAAGTAATTCCCCGACGTTACTTACGTGACCGCTTGGCAACTCCTTCTCCCCTTACATTTACAAAATCTATATATATATAGACTTTATA